CTAAAGAACCAACAGAGTATATAGAGCATATAGTATTGCTTTTAATAGAAAACGTTCAAGTTACATTTAAAAAAGATTAAAACGTTCAATTTAAATTTATCAAATCTTTTTGTATTTAAACAAATCAAAATTGTGTTTGATAACTGTATCTGTAAAATTATAATTTATAGAAACTAAACCGTTATTTATGATTTATTCCGTACCTTAATTAGTTAGCCATTAAGATTCATTAAACAGCCAACCGAATCTAAAGGGCTTACAATGTGCATATTATATATATATATATATATATATATATATATATACATATATATATATATGTATATTTATTTATTTATTTATTTATTTATATATATATGTGTGTGTGTGAGAGTACTTGAATACAGTGCATTTTATCAAATGTTTGCATTATTTATAAATATTTATGGGACACAAAGAATTTTATCTATATTTATTTATATTTACAAAGATTACCAAGAATTTTTTATTTATAATTTATATAAATAAATCATCGTCAGACTCAACGTTTTAATTATAAATAAGAAGATGAAAAGTCATAATAAATAATATAACAAATTTAATAATATTAACGATATTCAAAATCTTAAAATTCTAAAGTAAAACGTTATATGCATATGATGAAAAATTTCAGTATAAAATGATTTTTTTAAACAAGGTATGGGAGTGTAATATTTACTTTATTTAAAATATATATTCTGTGTGTGGGAATATAACTAAGCATGACGACATAAAAAGTAAAATAGTTTTTACCAAAGTGTGAAATTAGATTTTTGCTTGAAAACTGATACACACATTTATATATGTGTGTAATAAACATTTGTAGATTATATTTTTTTTAAACATATGAGAACTTCGCCTTTATGTGAATTTATCTAAAAATTCTTTTGTAGGAAATTGTTTATAATAAAACAAAATCGCCAAAGAAAAACTCAGAACTAATGTTTAAATATAGTTCAATTTATGCATTATGTTGAAATAAAAATGAACTTTATCATGTAAAAAATATATATGCAATACTTTACTCGTGATAATTTTGTAAAGAGTTGCATAAATGTTTCTATAAAAAAATTATTTGCAACAGTGCAACGTACGAGACTCAAGCAAGTAAACAAAAAATCGATAACTTTTATTAGAATGACCTAGAACTTGACTCTTGAATGATTTTTTATCACGATTGCAATGACTTTGTTTTTTTATGTGGATCACATGTTTTTAGTCTGAGTAAATATAATTATCGCCAAACATAAGCATGGAACATAAAATAATTAGGAATATAAGAATTGCAAAATATACGAAACGACAGGTGTGGAGCATATGTTGTTTGACTTTTTCTCGTGCATGAAACTCTCATATATGTTTGGAACAAATGACTATAGAAATAAAATTATGAGTATTTCAGCTGAAGCACGTACGAAACGTTATTTGTTTTGAAAATTAATTAAATACATATTTCATAGCAAACTTATTTCTTTACGGGCGCTGATGTATTTTACAACAATTCTAAATATAGTAAAGGACTTCGAATTGAGGATTGGAATTAAATTATGGACAAAATTGTTGCAAGATATAAAACAGATTTCAAGTTTGAAATTGGAATATTTTTGGTATACTACCAAAATAACCAATTTTGCTATGTAAATATATAATAATATAAAATATATCATATTATATATTACCACTACGTATTAGAAAAATATGTAATAACATTTTTTGGGGCTGTTTATATTTTTCTATTTTTCCTACTTTTCCTATTTGCGTGTTTAAGATCAAAGTATTGTTACATTTATTAAAAATGTAATCTCTGCATGGTTTTAAATTTATTATGTATTTATTTATTTATTCAAGCTATTAATAATCTATAATCAGGCTTATGTCATTTTATAAATAATTACATGAAGAAGTGTTGTTTACACTTTACATTACATGTTGTTAATTTAAATACAATTTACAATATAATGTTACCACAATACTTTTCTCAATACATAATAACCAAATACCAATCATTTCATGAATATGAAAAATCTAACAGATCATATTTACTTTACGTATTAAATTTATTTATTATATAATTTATACGATTTTTATTAATGATATACAAATTATATTTGATTATAATATTTGAAGTATAATCGTTTATTTGTACATTTTTATCACTTTTTCTGTCGGCCAGTAAAATGTAATGCTTCTTCTGAACCAAAACTTTTAAATTAATGAATAATATTTTATAAATTGTAAGTCTAGAACTAATAGTCGGTCAAAAATCCATACAAGGTTTTCAAAATCTTTAGGGGACAAAAGGATTTTTGTTTATAAAATTCAAAAAGTTCTCAAAAAAAACTAAAAAAGAACAAAAAAAATATGTAATAAAGTTAAGACAAATACAAACTTATTTTGATTTCATACAGAATAACGCGGTGCCTAATTTAAATTTGCTGTATTATCAATTACAAAGAAATTACAGGGAAATATATAGTAATCATAGTGAAAAGTTATGTCCAAAGTATGGTTCCCCATCAGAATATTTTGAGTAATAAATCAGAAATGAATGTCCTGACTTTTTCAGGATAGAATTGTTCATTTTATACTAAAAATCTAGAGTTACATGTAAATTAAATGTAATTCTAGCGCCAGTGTAAATACTATTGGATACATCTATTCAATATTCAACTAAAATACACATGGCTCATTTATATTTTTTAACATTTTTTCCATTTCATTTGTCACATTCGTTCCGCAACAATAAATTATAAATCCAACTCACCTTGTGCTTCTTCGGATGCTTGTAATGATAAGAAAAGTATTTTACCAAACGAATATAATGAATTTAAAATATTTACATTACAGAACCAAACAAAAGGGCAATGAAATTTCAGCAAGCAAAGTCTGCTTCCTATCAATTAGTTTTAAATCAAGTTCCAATGCCAAACTAATTTAATTACTTACGATATCGTAAACTACAAACCATTGAGAACCATAAAAATTTTAATATATTTTTAGAATTCGTAATCACAAAATTAGCATATAAATAATATGTCGTATAAATATAGATGAAGTATTACATGTCATTCATTTTAAATGAGATATAACTTAGAATAGAAATGACTTGAAAAAAAAAAATAGCGCTAAAAATATACTGAAAAAAATGCAAATGAAAGAAATGAAAAAGGTAAGCTGTTAAGATGAATTAATTAGTTAAATTTCGTCTCAATAAAAGGTGTCAAGTTGTTAAAAGAAATAAATCTCATATCAAAATGCATATATCATTAAGTATCAAAAGTATTTATTTATTTTTAATTTAAAAGATTAAATGAATCTATGGGAGAGATATTTTTCTTCTGCCTATTGTATTTAATACTTTGTTAAAATAAAAAAAAAATGAAATCAAGATGTATTTGATTAATTAAAACCAACATTAAATACCTCGTTCTGGTATAATGGAATCAAAGTTAATTAATCAAAAATATAAAACTTGTGATATTAAAATTTTAATTGCTTATGCAATTTCATATGGAAGAAATATTTATAATAGGTATTTAAAGGTACGAATATTATAATTGAAAACTTTACTTATTACATAGGTTTTTAAAATAATATACCGGCGAAAATTTGCATAATGAATATAAAACAAAAACAAAAACAACATGTAAGTAAATCAAATATAATTACTGTTTTTATGAAACGCTCGTTAATTTTATCATTTATTATATTAATTCCGAAAAAGAAAGAATATTCAACGTGGGATTACTCTCTATAATATAGAGTCTATATAAACCAGTTTTATAGAAAAATGTACCTAATTGTAAGTATTTATATTTACCTGTTTGATATTTTTCAAATAAAAGCCTATCAAACAGTGCTTTAAACTAAGTTTATCATATTTTGAGAACAATTGAGTTTTAAAAAAATATGATTCAATTATAAAGAAAATAATAAGTAACTTTTAAAACTAACAATTTTACAAACGTTAAAATTGAAGAAAACAGGCTTTTTGCAAAAAACGTTATTCAAACATAATAAAAATTTCAATAAAAGCACATAATATGAAATAATAAGGCTCAATCAGTTGAAATTCCTTGGAATTGATAAAATTATAAAGACAAAAAAGTTATAAAAATATAATTTAAAATAGTATATTATAGTATAATTTAAATAAAAGTATAAATAGTATGATTTAAGATAAACATATTTTACATTTGAGTAAATTAAAAACATAAAAAATCAAAAAAATATAACAAAACTTCATGCCACTGCAAAATTCAATTGCAATAAAAACTCAAGTTTTAATAATCAATATTAACAATTAATTCATATTTTAACATAAACTTCATTCCTGCAAAATCATTTTTAAAAATAAAAAACAGAGTAATAACAGCAAAAAAGCATGGGATTAAGGGATTGAATTTATCAATATGAAACAAAAAGTTTTAAATGATATCAACTTATACATCTTTTAAATTTAGCAATTTTGCAATTATTATATATTATATAGTTTCAGTTTAAAATTGAAAAAAAGTAAATGTTATTTGTGTAATGCAGAAAGCTCCTTTTTTAATAAGATTTGTTTAGTTATCAATATTAATACAGTAGATGTTATATAGAACAATAATCCACTAATTTATTAAAATGATAACATCTAGTTCTCATAATTAATAAATATAAATAAATTTTTGCAATAAAATAAATACAAGTAGCTTGTATTCACATATTTTGAAGTATGTTAAATTAATTACTGATATATAGCCATTAATCTTATGTTAGAATTATTTTGTTGATATATTCCAACAAAACCTTAAAATCAATCGCATGTTTTTCTATAAAAAAATTACAACAAACTTCTGTTTGCTTTAAAATAATTCATATTATATGAGAATTATTTATGATAAAGTAAACCTGGTATAAATTCGCTCGATTACATGCAATGTTTAATTAATAAGCATATCTAAAGCTATGTTATTAACAACAATAAATTACTTTCATACCTTGATTTATATATCCGCCAGACATGTTGATTGTTTTATATCCTATGTTAAAAACTATTGACTAAGATCACTAGAACTTTTTAATACTATTTGTGTGCAGATCAATATTTGTAAGTCGGTTTTTATGACACATTTCACATAATTGGCGAATTTTCGCACATTTCAGTCAACGTTTTTATTAATTTCATCACGTTTAACACACACATTTGTTAACACTGCGATCTGAACAAATTTAAAATACATATTTAAATTACTGATTTAACATAAAATACAAACATAAAATACAAATTTAATATTCAAAATTGAAACAAAAAAAGACTACGTCGATATAGTGTCAAGTTGTTTTGCATTTTGTATTGCAGTATTTATTTGGCAATCTCTGAGCAAATTAAATCGATTATTTCAATTATTTTGAAAGCAATAAATTTTGGCTTATCGCGAATAAGAAAACATTATATATATGTTTATAAAAATGGTTAGAAATTTTTTAAAACTACTTACATCTACATATACCAAACTAAAAAATGAATTTCTCTTTCTAATATTGATAGAACCATTGCTATATTTTTGGACAAATAAAATAAATATCTATATAAGAAAAACCATTTCGAATGTTTGATAAATTTCACAAATTAGTAGTTGATGCACTATTTATATGAAATTTAGCCGAAAGTAAGCATTTACAACATTTCGAAAACTTAATAATATATGAATTTACAAATAATACTGATTTTGAAATTAAAATTAAGGACAAAAGATATTTTTATTTAAAGCAAATTAATAAAGTTTAAAATAATAAAAAGAATTAATAAAATAAAAATAAAAAAAATAAAATTATTTAATTCGGATTATTGATACTTCATAAATAAAATTAATTTATACAAAAAATAAGAAAATGCATATATGAAAGAAAAATATGTTGGAATATAAAATACCATTTCGAACACAACAATTAAGCAAAGCTGATGAACACAAGAATTTTGAACACAATAAGTAAATGAGTTTAAGTATTTAAATTAATAAGCCACTTGATTACATTAAAATTTAACTTTCACTAATTTTAGCTCTACTAGCCTAGTTTAAATAAATATCGCTATTTTTAATTTTTTTTTTTTGCAATTACATTATATTCGCAAATTGACCACACAATTTTGCCGGAAAAATTGAACGCGTGTGCTCCCTTCGGAGACTTTGAAGCGACTAACTAGTTTCTGCGTTCGCGCGTAGTCTTCAGTAGTGAATTATAGTATAGTACATATGAATAAAGTTTTTTGGCTATGTGTGGGTTACACGCAACCGATGCATTTACACATACGAATTGTGATGAAGGTTCCTATAATACTCAACATTTTTACCAAAAGAAATTATGTATCTCGATTTTCTACATAAAAACGGAATGAAGACATAATATTTCCGAAAATTAATGTCAATCAGACTTAGACGTCCAATACCGGGTTTGGCATTCGACTTAGGCATTTTTAGGTACGACCAAAAATTTGCAGGGAATATTAAACAAAAAAATTGATTAAATGAAAAATTTAACAATCACATATATACAAAATATTATCCAGGTTAAAAACAAATATACATATTATATTATGAAATGTTGAAATTAATGAAATATTCAATATTAAAAAATAACCATATTTGGAATATAAAAATTAAAGCAGAAGACTATATATATAGTGTGTTTTAACGTCAAACACAAAAGGGGCTGTGATCATTATAACTATCATAAAAAAAATTAAAAAAATGTTTTATGCAGTTTGATAGTTATGAGCTTTTAAGTACATCAAAAGCTCAAGTCAAACTTTGGCCAAAGCTTTGTCAATCGATTATTATTAATATCCGAAAACTGGTCAAATATTGACTAAAGCTCTACGTTGTACTTGAAAGCTCATAACTTTCAAATTGCATGGAATACATTTTTATTCTTTTTATATTTTAAAATAAAATAAAATTATAAAATTTTATCATTTTATATGTGTGGAACCGTAACTCTAAGACCACAGTAGTGATAATATTGAGTTTTTGAAAATTAAGATTATATCTGCTAAACTATGAATTTAATATTTTCAAAATCTATTTTGAAAAGCCGTCTTTATTAAAATGTATTAAAGTTTAGGATTGTAAAATGGTTCAATACTTGGTAATTTAAATAAAGACGATAAATAAGAAATAATAAAGACGGGTAAAAAATTTGAAAATTCTTAAAAAACTTAATTTGATAGAGCTTTCGCTTACAATCAATTCAAATAGCTATCTCTCGCTCAAATATAGAATAGTGTGTTAATATATGTTTTTTAGATATTCAAAGATCTACAATTAAAAATAAAAGAAATTAGTTTAAAAAACTAAATTAATTTAATTTTTTAAATAAATTTTCATTCACTTGAGTCACTTTTTGACTCGAATTCAAGTCAAAACATACAAAATTAGAAATTTAGAGAAACAAAATCTACAAACAAGGGTACTAAAAGCTTGATTTGCTTTCAGATATTTCATTATACGCTTTACTATTATTGTTTTGTTTATTAAAAATTATTAAAAATGTAAGATTACGAATGTAAGTAATTTATTATCATAATCATATAAAGTTTAGAAGAGAAAGATTAATTTTAAACAAAACAACAAGTGAAAGAATAATGGTTATAAGTTATTGAAACTCGGAAATCGATTAGAATCTAATTCTAATAGAATCTAATATAGAATATAGAATCTAATATAATCTAAATCTATGTGATTTAATGTGATCTAATCATTAGATTATTACATGAATTTAAATTATATTAAAATATATCGAAACAAATGATAATAACAATTATAAAATTAGTTTGATATTATAAACTAGTAAAGCAATTAAAATTCACATTAAAACTAGACATTTTTTTGAGAATTTTAATTAAAAATTATTTTTAGATATAGGCTTTCCAGTTTCTTTTGAGAATCTGTGTAGACCGCAATACGCATTCATTTCCAGGCGTGCATACGCAATGTCAAATAACGTATCCTGTGTTATTTAACGCATATGCATAAAAGCCTGGCTTAACATTAAACAAAGTTGTCTTGCCGTTACAACGCATCGATTTAATTACTTCAACATTAATATATTTCATTAATAATTCAATAATAATAACAATAACTGGTCTGTTATTAAAATATAAATAGAAGACTCAGTTTTTTCACATGTTTCAACCAATTTTGGAACCTAAAACAAAGATGTGGAATTACAGTTAAAATAAAAAGTATAATGTATAAAGTATAATCAAGTAGCTAATTTTTTGTATAGTTTACACTTACGTTTTTTTTTTTTAAAGTGTAATTTTTAAATTATTTAAATTATTAGTGTAATAAAATATTTATAGTAAACACGCAAAAATTTGCACTATATCGACTTAAATTGAGTTAATAAACATGTATAATTATTTATTTATATATTCATAAGTATTTTCATATAATGTATACTGTAAAAAATAATTTAGCTTTGCATTTTTCAACGTATTTTTACTTTTTGTAATAAATCATTGTCAATTGTACATATTTAAAGTATCTTTATAATTATTTATTTTCAGTTAGAAATGTTTTAAAAAATATTATTTAATTTATTTATGCTTGAAAATTTATACATCATTTTAATGAGTTACTTCGGTAAACATAACATTATTATGTCACTTTCATGAACTGTTACTTTTTTAATGGTATATTTTGGATAAAATTCTAACGTGAATAAAGCTCACCTTTTTTTAAAACTAGCTCAGTTATTATCAACCTTTTGCCCCTTAATTTTTCTAACAATTTATTTGTATAATTACTCAACAATTTAATATAGAATATTATACCAAAATATATACATAAAAATAATGATTTTATAATTTATTTTTAATATAATTCCAGAGTTTTTGGCTTATTTATAAAGTAAAAGAAACAAATGCTCCCCAGAAACGTTGCGCCCCCAGGTTGAAAACTACAAGCTAGCTATCATATCAAATAAACTAAAACTTTGCATCTATTGTATCTATAACTTATAGATTATATAGACTTAAATCAATTCATCTCTGAAAATGACATACAATTACATATTTCCATCCTCGTAACGAAAAAAATGAAAGTGGTACAACCAGGTCACGAGCAATAATCAAATACATAATGACGCACTCATAGTGTAATTTCATAAACATCGTAATAATACTGTTACTTTTAGTATGATGTCATTTCAATAAACAAGTTTGTATTTTAACTCTGGTATTACTGGCACGCAATTCCTCGTTAGATTATGCATTTTATAAAAACCATAAACATTACTGTGAATTTTTATTAATAAAATGTATAGAGTAGGAGAAACCATGTGGTTTGACCAGCTCAATGGAGAGGTGGGTGGATGCATAGGCGGATCAATGGAACTGGCGGCATATTCAGAATTCAGAATTAGAATCATTAGAATTTACTAGACAAAATGTAATTCTTTGAGCTTTAAAGGAAAACATGGTACATAGGTACAGTTTCTTTAAATCGTAGAATATTTAATTTAATTACATGTGCAGTAAAATAGTAAAATTTCAAATATAATTTCAATTCATTTTCCTCTAAAACTGCCTCAAAAATCTAATTAATTCATATATAAAATTGTAATGTACTTTAAATTTTCAAATGAATTACAAGCTGATAATTTCATAAAGACTTTAAGAACGTTTTTTTACAGATGGCTAAGAAGGTAATTTGCATACTTCAAACTAGTATTTTTGACTCGATAGCTTTGATAATGATGATATTTTAGCTTTTTGCCAGTAACAATTATTTGATCACATTTTCAAGTGAAAATTTATATTTCTGCTGCTTGATATAAAGTTACATGGAACCTGGATTATAAACTTCGAACCTTGTGGTTTCTGGAACCGAATTTCTTACATTTACTATGTATATTTTCTGGTGTTGTAAATTAAAAAAACAAACATTTATTCAAAATACAAAAAATTCTTGTTGACTTTAGCCAGGATGTCACAAATATCAGATCTAAATACAATTGAGAGATTGATAAATGCATGTTTAAAACCAAAGTGTCGGTTAAAGTTAATTAAAAAAGAACAATTTAAATCAACTAGCATCTTTTTAGTTGAAGTGGTCCTCCAGTATGAGTAGAATTAATAATGCATTTCATTAAGATGCTCAAGCATAATATAAACAGATAAAGATATTTCATAAATATAATCAGGTTTGTATATTCATTATTAAGACTGAATGAATATTTTTATAAATTCTATGAATATGAATAAAGAGAATACTATGATTATCTGCTAGCATCTGTTTTTCTATCATCACTTTGTTTTTTTAATGACGATGACCTAAAATGATTTTTTATAATATATATAACCATGTGCCCATCTCAATCAATTTGTAAACACAAATATTATAATTAGTTGCATTTCGGTACCTACTACCTATTATGATGCATTCTTAAGGCGTAGGAATAACTTTAATAAACATGACTTTGTATGAAGAAAATTTGAGCTTAGAGCTAGAAAAATTATGTGAGAAAAACTGAAAATGAAAACGGAATAGCCTTTGTTGCCATAATTTAATCTTATCTTCTTAACTCTTTATATTGGTTAATAATACATCCATCCAATTTACTATTTGCAATAAAAACCCAATAATTAATTAATAATATTTATGTTCAAAGGGTTTGCCAAAAAATAAATATATATTATGAAATTCTAAATAAACTGTTTTAAATAATAAGATATTGATATTCATTATTCACGAATCCATTAATTTTTAAATCGTTTATAAGAATATGGCTCTCAAGATAATTGCACAACGTTGCGCCATAAATGAATGTTACGAAATTTCAGGGCGGATTATTGAATGCACTTTAATTTAAATATGAAGTACCATGACCATTATGTAGCAACTCAAGACTCAAAATGTGAAAAAAAAACAAAAATTATATTTTGCATATTACAAGAGAAAGCGTTTAACGGACGCGTCCTACGCATTTTTGAAGATTAAATTTAAAGCACTTGCAAATGAGTTTTCAGAATAATGAGTGTGCTACGAATTGTCAATGATATTTTGGTAAAAACCTAATTAGTTACTAACAAAGAATTTTTATGAATGAAAACCACAATTTCCTCCAAAAGACGTATTTTGCAACCTCTGCCTATTACTTATTACTAATAATTAT